TTCAGTACATTTTTTGTATTTATTAATTTTTTAAAATATTTTTTCACAAATTTTTTACTTTTTAGATATATCGAAGTAAGGTGCATCTAAAAAAGTAAAAAAAATATTTAAAATTTTAAAAATATTCACTAAAAACAAAAAAATATAAAAATTAAAAAATTCAATTTTTAAAAAACTTAATCTAAAAAACTCAAACTAAACACAGTGATTTTAATTCAAAACTAACCTGCCAAACATAGCCAAAATGTGACTCTAAAAATTAAAGAATTCAACCAACGTGGCCTAAAGGTTTGACCGTGTAGTACGGCGGTCTACAGTTCTGTTCAAAATTGGGAGTAATGGTTAGGGGGTGTGGTTGTAACGCGCCCGTAATATGGGCATTGGGCTGGGCACCCATTTCAAACCTCGGTTTTGACTCTTTTTGTCTTATTAGCCTTGTTTGGCAAATATTATTTTTTATATTTTTTGATCCAAAATTCAAAAAAAAAAAAAGACTAAAATAAGCCGCAGGCCAATTTTACACTTCTATCAATGTGAATGTTAACTTGTCAATGTAAATATTCATATCATCAACAGGTCGAGCCGGCCCTATTTTTTTGGCCTGTGGGCCGGCCCGGCCCGACTCGAATTTTTCCGAGCACCCACGAGGATCGACATGGGCCGGGCCCCTACACATTGACGATATGAACATTTACGTTGACGGTGTGAACATTCACATTAATATCCATTGGATTAATAATCTCACCCTTACCACATTACTAATAATCTTACAAATTTATTGAATTAATTATTCATAAAATTAATAATCCTAAAATAATTAACTTCCTAAACACCCCCATTATTATTGTTTTGTTTTTCGCTTTTAGTTTTGTCTTTTGCTTGTGGAGAAAATTGCATTTCACTAAAGTAATGATAAAAAAATTATATTATTATGATGGTAAAATTATTGTGCGTGTATGATTCTAATTCATTAGTGTGCATGGTATAACTTGAGTTTCAGAATTGTTAAAAAAAGAAAAAAAAAAATTTATTTATAATATAATTATTTTATGACTATTAAGGCTAAGTTTGGGAAGACTAAATAAGTGTACTTTTTGACTTTTTATGAAATATGGGCTGGATTTTGGTTGGATTTGAAGTGATGTGTTAGAGAGGTGACTTAAATAAGATGATGTAACTTAAATAGGATAGTGACTTTTTAACTTTTTGACTTTTTCTAAACATCCCAAACTTGGCCAAAAAAGGAAAAAAAGAGCCTCATCTGTCACAGTCCTGTGCAAAGTCTAGACCAGCTCAGCTGCTCAACAGACAGGTGGCAACATATTAATACAATTCCTCATTTGCACTTTCAAAAAAAATAAGAAACTAGAAAATTTGTAAGAAAAAAAAAAACATTTTTACCAAAATATAATTGCAAAATTTTACAATTCAATGAAATTTTTTTAAAAAATTATAAATTCATAAAAAAATTAAAATTTTTAATTATTACTATTTATAAAAATTATCAATAAATTATAATAATTTTTTTAAAATATCACTAATTGATATTTTCCCAAATATGATATGGGTTCAATTTTTATATAGGGAGATTTGGTCTCGTTTGGAAATTAATTTTTTTAAGAAAAATTTAATTCATACAAAATATTTAACAAGAATATGTGACAATATCATTATTATAAATAAAGTTATTTTTAATAGTATTTAATTTTGAAATGAAAGGTTCACAATGAGTCATATCATTGTATATGATTTTTTTTTTATATAGAATTATTTTTTTAATAGTTTTTTAGTGTTTTTTTTAATTTTTTTATAAAGTTAAAAAAAAACTATTTTGTTTGGAAATAACCTTTTCTAATTTTATCAAAAATTATGAATTACTGAGATATTTAACTTTATCTTTTAGTATTTTTTTAGTTTTTTTTGTGTGTGTGTGTGACTATTTTAACAAAAAATTAAGTTGCCAAACAAGGTAAAATGAATCTTGACTACACATTATTTTTTAAAAATATATTTTTATGTATGTTGTATTTTTGTTGCAATTTACAATCTATTCAAAACATAATTTATATTCAATTTATTAAAAACTTGTTTGAAACAATTAACCCAATTAAACTTCAACATGTTTTGAATGATGATAACTTTTCGAGCTCCATTCAAACATGATGTAATAACTTTTTTGTACAATAATGCCTCGTTTGGTAAGAGGCTATTTTAGTCAATTAGTCAAAAAGTTACTAAATTAGCCAAAAAGCCAATAACCTATACCAAAAAGTATAGTTTTTTAGTGTTTTTTTTAATTTTTTTATAAAGTTAAAAAAAAACTATTTTGTTTGGAAATAACCTTTTCTAATTTTATCAAAAATTATGAATTACTGAGATATTTAACTTTATCTTTTAGTATTTTTTTAGTTTTTTTTGTGTGTGTGTGAGACTATTTTAACAAAAAATTAAGTTGCCAAACATGGTAAAATGAATCTTGACTACACATTATTTTTTAAAAATATATTTTTATGTATGTTGTATTTTTGTTGCCATTTACAATCTATTCAAAACATAATTTATATTCAATTTATTAAAAGCTTGTTTGAAACAATTAACCCAATTAAACTTCAACATGTTTTGAATGATGATAACTTTTCGAGCTCCATTCAAACTTGATGTAATAACTTTTTTGTACAATAAATTCATTTAAAATAAATAAATAAAATCACTCAAACTAGATAATTGAGATATATTTGAGATTGATTTTAAAAATTAATTATTAATAAGTCCTATTTTTGAAATTTATTACCTATTAAGTCTAATTGATAAATTAGTCTCTCTTATTTTTATAAATAAATTTATAGTGATAAATTTATTAGTCAGGACCTTAAATAAATAAATCTAATTAATAGAACAGATTGGTAACTATCCCTTTTTAAAAATCACATAAATTTTAAAATCAAATATAATTTATTTACTCAATTAGTTAAAATTTTAATTTTAAATAATTCACTACTTAACTCAACTCATTAAGGCCTCATTTGAAAAGTTAACTATTTTAGCCTCCGTTTGGGAAGTGGGTTGGCTTTTTGGCTTTTTGACTTTTTTGGCTATTTTAGCCTGGGCTTAAAAGCTTGGTTTGGGAAGTAAAAGTTGTGTTTAGAATGATATTTAATTTTTTAAAATTAATTTGATAATTATAAAAGAAAAAATAAAATAATTATAAATTAAATATAATATTTTTGCTTATTAATTATTTTAACGTACTTTATAAGTGTACTTTTTGACTTTTTCATTAAAAAAGTAGAGAAAAAAGATATATGTTTAGGATAATTTTTTGACTTTTTACGAAAATATATATAATAAAATATTATAGTAAAATCAAAATGACAATTCTATTCTAGTTGACTTTTCGACTTTTAAGTAATTAAATTCAAAAGTAATTTTACCATCTAAATTTCTTCCACAAACTTTCCCCAATAATATGAACTTTTTAATTTTTTTAATAATTTTTTTAACTTTTTAAATTTTATAAAGAGTGGTGATTTAGAGCACTAAATTTGAAGCTCTAAAAACATCATTAATGAGGTGGCAATGTAAAAAAAAATAAAATAAAATAAAACAAAAGCCAAACTATCACATGAGTGGTGGGATCCACATGATGTCACATCATTAATGGTGCATTAGTGGTGCTAAATTAGTGGTATGAAGCATTTTTCTTTTATAAATAATCTCAAACTCCAAATAGCCCATCTCGAACAGAGCCTTTACTGACAAAATTGTTTAGACCATCTCCAACGGTGAATCAAAGTTGGTATCAGATTCAAATTTTGATGAAAAAGGCACTTTTTTATGCTCCAACCGTTGCACCAGATGAATATCAAAATAAGAATTCAGCAAAAAAAGTATCAAACTGAGAACAAGATAGGAATTTTACCAAATCACTGTTACTGACCGTTGAAAGAGGTACACCGGTCAACCAGCCGGTTGACCAACCGGTCAACCAGTAAAAGATTCAACAAGTTCAGGAAAAAAAGTTCAAACCGTTAAAAAAAAAAAAAAATTTTTTTGCCTAACTGGTCGGACCGGGCCGGTCGACCACCCGGTCGTCCAGAAAAAAGTTCAGACAATTCCGCGAAAAAAAAAAAAAAAAAAAATTTTACTTAACCGGTCAACCGGCCGGTCGACCACCCGGTTGTCCCGGGATAGATTTGGTGAAAGGTGAACCGTTGGAGTGAGTGATATCAAATTTAATAAAAATGAGTCATTTTTTACTCAAATTTAGTGAAAAATTTGAGACACCGTTGGAGATGTTCTTACCTATTAATTTTTGCCAACCCACTTCTACTCGTATCCAAATGGAAGCATGGGCCCCACTTGAAAAATCATCAAATTCCACCGAATCTCCCAATTAACCTCCTATAGAGTTGGACTTTTTTCAAAAAATTCAAATATAAATTTAAAAGAATTTGAGGGATTTTTAAGGTTATTATACATATTGTTTCAATAATTCAAGTTATTTACTGTATAGGACCTTTTGTAAATATTATTATTAGAAGAAATAAGATCGAAATCATGTTTATTTTTAAAAAAATTACATGATTTATTTTTAAAAATATATTTGTCATTTATTTTTTAAATACAAAACAAAAAGTAATTAATTTACAATTTTTGAATTGATATAATTTTTTTCCATAGATAACATAAATTGAGAGTCGTACAAAATCAACCATTCACATACCAAAATGAGACCAATAAATAATAAATCCTACAAGTCTCTCAAATTCTTTTCAAGCTCAACTTTAAATATATTTGATTTTTTACGAAAAAATTTATAAAAAAATAAAAAGAAGAAGTTAACTTTGTAGTAATAATTTTTTTAATTATTTTAAGTGGTTCCCAAACTTGGTGTAAATATTTTCTATATTTATTTTTGTATTTTTGGTATGCCCAAAAAATACACAAAATTAATCATAATATTAATAAGGGTCAGTAATCTGATTCTTCCAACAAACAATGTCTAAAATCGAATTTTCTTCCTTGCTGTATGTGAAGAACCGCTGACTCATCTCATAATTACAGCATCACCCCCACTTTCTCTCAATTCCCCACTCCTTACCCTCAACCCAGATTTCCATTTCACATTCTTCTACTTCTTCTTCTTCTTCGCTCTCTCTCTCTAGGGTTTATTGGTCTCTGTTCTGAGCTTCAATGGCTTCTTCATCGTCTAGAAAAGCCTGTTTTCAGTGCGAGGACTCAAACTCCACCCAGTTCAGAAACGGTTGGAGGGTTCGCAGTGGCCACTTCGCTCAGCTCTGCAATCGATGCTCGTAATTAACCCTTCTCTCTTTCTCTCTCTTTCTCTATCTCACTCTGTGAATTACGTTGATGGGTTTTGAAATTGTTGATATCTTTGTGTTTGATAATTTGCTTGAATGAATTTATAGCCTATTTGTTGACTTGTAGTGTTTCTAATCAATTTGAGTAAGTGATTAATACGTTAATTATTTTATATTTCTCTGCTCTAATCTTGAATTTGAGGCATTTGGCTCTCTTTTTGAGCCTTTTTTTGTTTTCTTGCATGTCAAGAAATCTTGTAATGATTCTACGTTGCTCGAATGTGGAATGTTTCTTGCTGTAATTGGTGCTAGATATTGGTGGGGTTTGCTTTGAAGGGAATTTTACATGTGTTTTAATCGTTCCTTTTGCATCGATGTGCAAACATGGTTGCATTCCTTGAGGTTTTCATGCAGACTTAGGATCACCAGGAATAAAAAAATTGGGCATATATATATAATTCTTGAATTTGGGGCTTGGGTGATTAATTGGTGAATTGAAGTTAAAAGGAGTGATGCGAATGAGATTTATGGTGATATATAAGTACGATTTTCCCTAGCAAGTGTGCTATGGTTTGGGTGGAATTGTAGTTTAACTTGGCAGGAGTTATATGTTTGGCATTTTTTAAACTTGGATAACATGCTCTCTTGCAGTGGCGGAACTAGGATTTTGGTGGAGGGGGAAAAATAAGTCAAATTATTGGGTTAGGCTGGTTTGGAACACAGTTTAGTTTGGTAAAAAAAAATCAATTATCAATTTTTCAAAACTATTCCAATATCATACACATCACTATAATAAAACCATTTTAACTTTCTGCATGCATATAGGTTTATTCCCTTGGTTTTATTTAGGGTCTCTATTTCCCACTAATGCTGTGTTTAGTTGGGAGATTTGAGAAGGGAAAGGGAAAAGGTGTTTGAAATGTGAATAAAATATAATTACATTTCATCTAGTTTCATACACATTTTCCCTTCGCTTCCCAATCCCTTCCCAAAGAAGTTTATATGTAATTATGATTTGTGTTGTAATTGATGATTCGTTATACTTCATTATAATTGAGATACAATGTAATTAAAATAAAAAAAAAAAACTCAATAAAATATAATATAATAAAAGGGATTTTTTTTTTAAAAAATTATTTATGAATTAAATAAGGAGTCAATATATTATAGTTAATGGTGTGTTGAGTTTGTCACGAGAAGAGTGAGAAATTTATATAATTTATATTAGGTTATCATCGTTATTGGACACTTTTGTTGTATCTCAACTTAATATGGTGAAGCATGAAAAGACACAATTGACATCATTTATCTTCTGATGCATCTCTGTACCTTTCAACATCTGACTTGGTCCATTGTGCATTTAGCTCTTTGTATGAGGAAGGAAGATTCTGTGACACTTATCATGCAAATGATGATGGTTGGAGGGACTGCGAATCTTGTGGAAAGGTGCATTGAGAAGTTGCTATTTGCTGCACCAATTTTTGCTAAAATTGATTGGTGGATCAAATCATCTGTTGAAGATACTTGATTTCAACATTGCCTTTTCTATGTTATTCCAAACTTCTTTTGCAGTTGGTTCACTGCGGATGTATTGCGTCATTCCATGCATATATGCTGTTGGATTTTGGTGGAGTGATCTGCATGGAATGCTCAAAGGTTAATTTCATTCTGGTAAGAGGAAGCTACTTTCTTTCTCATCACATTTTGTTGCTTTCTTGCCCCTTATGCTTATAACTTTCAGCAGTTGCCATGATTTTGGTGCTTCATGCTTTCCCTAATTGGTTACTTTGTACTCACTTTTATGCTGTAAGGTTTAATTTTAACACTTGTTATTTCAGGCACGAAAACGATGTCTATATTCTGAAACTCAAATAGGAATTGGAGAACCACAAGGGGATGCCGCTAGGCCAATCCAGATAGATCCTCAATACTGGCCTCGGGTGACTGATCAAGAGTTACAACAGATCGCCAGAAAGTATCCTCTAATTTTCCATTCATCTTCTTGATTTCTCTGTATATAAGATAGACACTCTAGCTATATTATCAAGCTGTTGAGAAGTCACCCGAGGTTCTTCCAATTTGTCTTATCTCCTGTTCAATCTGTTTCAATTTTCAATGGTATGCTGGGAATGGCTTTGATGTGAGCTTGCATTCATTTTATTATGTTTCTAACTTGGCATCATGTAAACAATCCTTGACTATAAGTAAGAACAAATTCTGTTGTCATTCCATTGTTCGAGAAATTATTGTCTGCTAGTGATGCTGATCACAAGTTGGCACGTCTCGTGATACCAAAAAAATGTGCAGAGGTAGGTCTGTGCACTTCCAAGTTTGAAATTTTAAATTATTAAAATAATTTGAATTCATTGAGTTAATATTTTGGACATGCTACTACTGATTTTGACGTCAGTGGCAACTGCAATGTAAAGGGTGGCATCTTGACAAATGCTTGAGGGATACTGTGAATGATTTTCATGTTCACTGAAAAATTAATACATTGTTCATGCCTTTGTTATCTTGCAAACTCCGTTGGACCATTTTCTTTGGTGCAGCAGTTGCTATTTGGGCAATGTATTATTATCTATTATTTTATTTGGGTTTAAAGGATTAAATTAGTTGTAAGTTTTTACTTGCAGAGTAGATTCCCTGGTTGTAAAAATTCTTTTGCCATGCGTGACACTGGGGTTGTTCCTATATCTTAAGAATCTTCTTTTTTTTTAAAAAAAGAATATTTTTTTTGCTATATGCTGCAAGAAGATTTATTTCAGTTCTTTAACCATTACCTGGTAAAAATGGTTTTGTAAAATGATAGAGAATTGAGCAAACACAAAACAGAGGATACATAGACAGAAACACCTTTCCTCTTTGAGCTAATGAATCTGAAGGGTCATGAATCATTCTACGTTGTTGGGAATTTGGCATATGCCCTCCTCCACCATTTTGGGATTGTACACTCTCCAGTCTGTTCACAATGCATTTTGCACAGCACTCAGTATACATGGCACTGATATATGATTATTTCTGCATGCTGTGATTAATTATCTTTAGGTACCCATAAAAATGCATTCTTATGATATGCATTGTTACCCATTAGTTAACACGGTAGCTTAAGAGCTTGGATTTAAAATTGCTTGTGTTCATAACCCTCATCATCAAACAGGCTTTTTTCCCCAAAATTACTACCCCACATGGGTGCCCTCTCAAAATCCAGGATACAGAAGGCAAGGAATGGGAATTTCAGTTCCACTTTTGGCCCAATAGTGGCAGCAAGATGTATGTTCTAGAAGGGCTTAGAGATTATATGGTTTCAGTGCAATGGCAAGCGGGTGACATAGGTAAGTTGCACAATTCATGTGTGGAAGAAGTTAAGTGGACCTTTATCATTTACTTTTTTATTTTGGGTTTGCTTGTAATGGAATGATACTAGAGAAGTTGCCTTGCCATACCTTCAGTTATGCAGATCATAATTTCCTCTATACTCACAGTAATAATAGTAATTTCCGTTTGAATTCTGCCTCTGTGGACAATTATACTATTTTATTGGTTCAATTCAAGCACTCCATATCTGGGTTGTTGAATATTTTGTTCTTCACTTATGGTTCCTTCTTCGTGGACCTTTGTTCTTCCATCATCCTGAATACTATCTATGTTAACTAATGACATAAGTCACCATGCTGGCTAAGCTATTACCTCAAAAGTTGTTAAGGTGCTTATGTAATCATGTGCGATTGTGATTTTTCATGCATGTGCACATGATGAGTTTTCCTTACCTAGGACTAAGAGTTATTCTTTCTTGCAGTGACATTTTATAGGATTGAACCAGAGAAAAAGTTGGTCATGGGATTGAGAAAGACTTGTGCTAGTGTATCACCTTATGAGGTATGGCAAAGTGTATGTGTGTAATTTTTTTCTTTTTTTAGGAGTCTGTTAGTGCATGTGTGGAATGGATCATTGTTCTTGATGAAATCCTATCAGAATATTTGGATGCTTGCCTATTATAAAATGCATCTATGGCAGTCAATGCTGCTTGTGTTTTATTTTACAACTCCACTAGTCCTCAACATTATTTTGATTTTAATTGTTGACTCCCAAGTTGTTTTCTGCAAACTTGCAATGTATTTCAAACACTTATAATTGGTCAGAGTGTGTTTCCCAAGTGTCCGAAGTGTATCTAGTTCTAAATTGATTAAAAAATAAGACGTGTATGGAGGTGTGTGTTGGGTTGTGTCCAAGGAATCAGTCATTTGAAAGAAAAGTCTTGATAAGTTAAAAGCCTCGGTTTAAAACTTCTGATGTCCACTAGGGACAATTGTACGCACAGAAAAAGCAATGCAAGTAAACTAGGGAGGCTCATAAAATGATTTTCATTTGTGAAAATCAGTCCAAATATTATCTCATCCATTGTATGGAAGCTAGAAAGTAAGTTCTGAATTCTGTTGAGGAATTGTTTTAATAAATGCATACGTTTGGTCATTTGCATTCTCTTGATATACTTGTACCTTAATTCTTACTTAATGAACAATAGAAGTGTGAGCGAGCATCTAGATTTCACCAGACGGGGAGAACCATCGATTAAAAAATAATCAATTTTATTAATAATTAAGTTCTTCCGATCTTTTTAATGATATTAAAAATATCTTTCGGTTAACCATTTTGTTAATAAATAAACATAATTTGTATTTCAATTTCTAATTTGATTGAATGGATTAATTCTTGTCAATCTAATGTTTTTGATCATACTAAGAGCTCTAATTTTTTTTTTATTAATTATTTCTTGTTCAGGTTTCGGCCTGATGTTTCAGTAAGAAGATTATAAAGGCCATTCTGAATTTTATGCTTTCCTGTGGATGCTTTTGATGGTTTTTATGCACAAGCCTTCAGTTAAGAACTAATTTGTTAGTGTATCAAAAGAGCTCTGTTATCAGAATCTTACGATTCGCGATTCGATTCGCGATTCGATACGCAATTTTTGCAAAATCGATACGAATCTATGAGTGAATCTATTTTGGAAGTGAATCTCTATTGAATCGCACGATTCACAATCGATTCACGATTCGATTCATTTTTTACGATTCATGCAATTTTTGAAATTATTGTGTTCGACATATTTTCGACTCATTTTTTCCATCTTTTTAGTGAAAATGACATAATACAACTTCTAATAGTATTTAATACCAAAATAACCAACATATGTATATGATTTGTTATTATTTTAGTGATCATGGAGTTTTTTATAGGATCCAATCAGATTCAATCAGACCTAACATATTTTTAACCTTTCTTCTCATTTTTGTCCCCTTCAAAAAAATTGTAATATATCTTCTAAAGATGTTTAAGATTAGAGTTACACTATGAATTATCTATTACTATTTTATTAAATTGAATACTACATGTGTAAGGTCAGTTATACCTGTTAAAATGTTTTAGGCTTTAAAATAAAATATCCTAAATAATTCTTTCTTATTATTTGCTCACTCTTACTTAGAAAAGTATATATGCTTATCGTTGTTAACTATTTATTGTTACTTTAGAAATTAATAGTTTCTATTTGGTTATTACCTTTATTAAGAATGATTGATAAAAAAATCTTAAAAAAAAAAAAAAAGGGTAAGATGATGATTTTACATAGGAACTTTTGTTAACTTCTTACCTATTAAATTACATGATTATCATTCAAAATAACATTTTTGTTGATGAATGGATTAATTCTTGTCAATCTAATGTTTTTTATCATACTAAGAGCTCTAATTCTTTTTTTTATTAATTATTTCTTGTTCAGGTTTCGGCCTGATGTTTCAGTAAGAAGATTATAAAGGCCATTCTGAATTTTTTGCTTTCCTGTGGATGCTTTTGATGGTTTTTATGCACAAGCCTTCAGTTAAGAACTAATTTGTTAGTGTATCAAAAGAGTCTTCCCCCTTCCCTAAGGATTTTTTTTCTTCCTTACATTTTCCGATTCCTTCTGAGTTTACAAAACCAAATTCATGTGCCTTGTAATTGGGTAGTTGTTGGGATTGTTTTCTTAGTCGATTGAACTAGTTTGTTAGAGTATAAAATGTGCCTTCTTTTTCATTTTTCGATTCCTTGAAGTTTATAAAAAGCAAATTCATGTTTAGTCAATCTTCAAATAGGAGCGATTTGAACAGAAAAGCTGAAATGACAATGCGTTTACTACCTACAAATATCAGCTGCAACTCAAATCCATAATCATGCTTGAATTCAGAATAACCTTTCTATACTATTTGCAGGAACATGGTACACTAGATGATGCTCCCATTTCGAAACCAAATCTATGCTTCCTGCCTCGGAAGAATTCGCAAGAATGTGGTCCTTCGGTCGTAAAACTCTGATTTTTGTTTGTGTTTAAAGTGAAATCCTTGACTTGGGGTTCCAAAAAGTAAGGTTGGTATGATGACAATGGATGGTGGATGGTCCCTAGAAGGCCAGGTGCAGCGACTGTGAATAAACAGATATGCAGTGATGTTTCATTATGCTGTAATATATCAGTTTCTTTTTTGATACATTGGAGCCGTAGTTTAGGGGAAGGAAAGTCTTGTATGGAGCGAGACTCGAACTCTTGACATCTTAGTGAGTTAGATGCTTTCTGGTTATGCTGTAATATATCGCTTTTTTGAAGTCTTCTATGGTTTAAGACTTGAACTGTTGATATCTTAGTGAGTTAGATGCCTTCTGGCTATGATGTAATATATTGCTTTCTTGAAAGTTGTTGAGCAGCAAATGGGTAGAAATTCATTTCATTCTGTTGGTTCGTGCAAAAATGGCATTATTGTACAGGGATTTAAAAAGAAGTCAATTTGAACAAAAATCAGTTTGTTTGGTTTTAGTTTTTTGAAAATTAAATTTTTTATTTTTCGTATTTTTTGTTTTTAATGAATATTTTTTAAATTCTAAGCATTTTTTTTTTGCCTCTTTAATGCACATTACTTATATGTATCTAAATAGTAAAATATTTGTAAAAACATATTTTAAAAAATTAATAAATACACAAAAAATATAAAATATGTAATGAATTTTCATATTTTTTGGTATTTAGTGTATTTTTTAAATATTTTTTTTACAAATATTATACGTTTTAAGCGTATTTATGTTAGGTGTGTCTAAAAATTAAAAAAAAAATTACTTAAAATATTTAAAAAATTCATTGAAAACATTTAAATGTGGAAAATAAAAAAAAAATTGAATTTTTTGAAATTTGTTTTCTAAAATTCTGAACCAAACAAGCTGATAGTTTTTTAAACGTGAATAATTTTGATGTGTTTATTACCCGAACTGGAGCTATGTATATATATTACTAGTTACAAAGGCCCGTGCAAGGCACGGTCTACTACTACAATATATTTAAGTTTTGTATTTTAATAATTTTTAAAAATAAGAATATTATTTTATGAAATTAAATAGAATAAATTATTAGATTTATGATAGAATTATATAAATTGTATTATAAATAATAACCATTAGAAAAAATATATTAAGTCATATCGTTTTAACATAATTATATTCTTTTCTTTTTCAATGAGACTAAGTGTGAAGACATAAAGATAAACAAAATAAAGTATACATCTTACTAAAAAAAGATAAGAAAATTTCCCATCTAAAACAAAAAAACTAAACTAATAAAGAAGACCCATTTTATTAATAAATAAATTATACTCGCATAAAAAATAATCAATTTTATTAATAATTAAGTTAATTAACAATTTTTAATGATATTAAAAATATCTTTCGGTTAACCATTTTGTTAATAAATAAAGTATTACGTCATTTAACAGTTTTTAATGACCTGAGAAATATTTTGCAATGAACAATTTTGATAATTTATTATTGCGTAGAAGAGTAGTTTTTTTTTTTTTTTTCTTCTGATTATTGGGTTAAATTAAAATATATAACAAACGATAGTTGTAATTTGTATTATTATAGGACTAATTCATACTTTAAACAAACATTATGAATGTATTTGTAATTTATTAAAAAATAAAAAAATTTTGTTTTATAATTGACCAGAATGTTTGCATATTTATGAGAAAACCTTTATTCAATTTGTTATAGGAAAAAGACTGAGACCCCCAGTGGGGGTGACCTCTACCACCCCCACTGTTTTTTTATTGGCTCAATTTTTTTTTTTAGTCTGGCTCTCACAGGCCCCCACGTGGAGGTGGGGGTGCTGGGGTCCCCAGTACTATTGTTTGTTATACCATTAATAAATTATACAAAATAACAGAGCAAAATAAGAAATTCCCAAACAAGCTAGGGGCAAAACAGGAAAATTATATTTTCACACACCTAACTAGCTCAAGACACATCTTTTCTCAATACACACACCTATTAATTTGATTATTAATTAATTTTCTCAATCTACACACATAAAGTTACAATTATGCCCTTCACTTATAACCATTATACACATACAGACACACACACATTGTCACGTCCTATATATCACAACACAGTGTTCACCGCTAATGGAACATTGTCACACACGGAAAGAATTTCTCAACCCTAGCTTCTGTTTGGGAATTTTCAAAATGGTTTTTAAAATTTAAAGCTTAATTTTTGGGAGTTTTCAAAACCTTCATTGTTTTTCTTTGGAAAGCATTAATTAAGCTTGGGGACTTTGTCCCACATTGGAAAGAGAGCAAAACGTGGAGCACTTAATTTAGTGTTATATGGAATATTCTTTTGAATATGGAATTATGGGATGAAAGTTAGTGTGCATACCCACACCGAAGCACCATCTGCACACGCACACGCGCACGTGTGCGTGGTGTGGGCAGTGGGCAATGTGGCGTTTGATGGCGCATTTTGCACTTAGCAAGGCGCCATGAGGGCGCTTTCCGATTTTCATCGGACAGGTTGGAGCGATGACGTGGATCTGACATGGCATGGATGACGTGGAATACAGTCAGCTCCACGTGGTAGTAATGTGTCATCCGTTGGCGATGAATCAACCAACCGATCAAACGGTTGTGTGTCCAATTTGGAGCAGGTTGATCATAGCCATTAATTGGAGATACGCGCGATCGTACGGATGAGATGGCACCCGATCGTGATCAGGTGTGATTAGTCAAGGCATCTATTCGGTGTCAGAATGATCTGTACCATAGATCGTCGATCCAACGGTCAGATCTAATCGAATGCGATCAAGGGACATGACCATTCGATCAGATCCATCAAGGCCTATAAATAGGCTACGAAATCAGCCATTTCATTCCATCCAAAATCCTGAAAAGCATTCCTGCAATTCTCTCTCTCTCCCTCTTGATTTTGAATTTTCGATCAAGAGTTTCTTAAGCAAATTTCTGCTTTTCTTATTGATAATCAAGTTCTGCAGATTTGATTATCAGTGCCTTAGTTTCTTGATTATATTAAGAGTGTTCTGATCTATTGTCGTTAGTGCAGACGTTGATAGACTAGATCTTTAGATCAGGCTTCATTGTATCATGGAGGTAAATTTGTTGTAACCCCCTGCACACCTTTTGGTGGGTACAAATATTGTCTTTAGGAAAGCGACTTAGTAACGTGACTTGAAGCACTAATTTTCTGTTCTATATAGACAAGGTCATTGCCAAATTTTGAAGACCCGAAGACCACCATTTGAAGAATTCAAGACCCTTTGTTCCAACAATCTAAAGACAATATTTGGATATAGCGATGTCTATTCAGAAAAATGACTCAAGATTTCATGAAGCTTGACCGTTTTGATGGAGGAAATTTTCGACACTGGCAAAAGAAGATGCATTTTTTGCTCACTACTCTCAAAGTGGTCTATGTGCTAACTACCCTCTATTTGATGGAGCAAGAAGACGAGACTGTGGAGTAAACCCGTGCCAGAACCAAATGGGAGAATGATGACTACATTTGTTGAGGACACATTTTGAATGCACTGTCAAACTCTTTATTCGATGTGTATCAACATCTGGAAACGACAAAGTAACTCTGGGACTTATTACAGTCAAAGTACCTTACCGAGGATGCCACCAGTAAGAAATTTCTTGTTAGTAATTTTATGCGTTTTACAATGATTGATACAAAGCCCATTATGGAACAATTCCATGAGATCCAACATATTCTGAGTCAATTTTGACAAAAGAACATGAACATGGATGAATCTATTGTAGTTTTATCTATAATAGAGAAACTACCATCTTCTTGGAAGGATTTTAAAAAAAAACTCTGAAACACAAAAAGAAAGATCTTACTTTAGAGGAATTGGCTCAACACCTCCGAGTTGAGGAAGAGTCAAGGTTACTTGAAAGTAAAGATAACCAATTAGCTCAGACATCCAAGATCCACATGGTGGATGATGGTAAGCGGTTCAACAAAAAGAAGCGTAAGCATGAACCCCAACTCGAGAAAAATGCTAAGAAGCCGAAAGGCGCTTGCTGGCACTGTGGCAAGCCAGGGCACTTCAGAAATGAATGTTGGTCATACAAGAAGAAGCCAGAAGCATCAAATGCCAAGAACAAGTTTGTGGCTGTTGTATCCGAGGTGAACATGCTCGAAGATGCTGGTGATTGGTGGATTGACTCAGGAGCAACAAGGCACGTCTGCAACGATAAGAGCCGTTTCACTACTTATGAACAAGCGAGTGATGGAACAGTTCTACATGGGCAACTCTTCAACTACTGCTATCAAAGGCAAAGGGACGGTGGATTTAGAGTTTACATCTGGAAAAGTCCTAAGTCTTAATGATGTTTATCATGTACCTGATGTTAGGAAAAACCTTGTATCTGGAAGTCTGCTTAATAAGCATGGTTTCAAGGTAGTATTTGAGGCGGACAAATTTGTCCTATCTAAGGGTGGGATTTTTGTTGGGAAGGGCTACATGTATCAAGAAATGTTCAAACTTAACGTTATCAATAATACATCTATTTCTGTTTATATTGTTGATTCTCTTTCTTTATGACATGTTCGTTTAGGTCATGTTAATGCTAGGAAAATACATGATATGGTTAATTTAGATTTAATTCCTAAGTATAATATTGATATGTTTGAAAAATGCAAATTTTGTATACAATCTAAAATTACTCGCATTCCATTTCTTAAAGTAGATAAAACCAGATCTCTACTTGAACTTGTGCATAGTGATATATGTGACATGCATAGTACCCCCACTAGAGGTGGTAAGAAATATTTTGTACAATTTATTGATGATTTTTCTAAGTACTGTCATATCTATCTTTTGCATTCAAAAGATGAGGTGCTTGATAAATTCAAGATTTTTAAGACAGAAGTAGAAAATCAGTGTAATGTCAAAATAAAGCAACATAGGTTTGATAGAAGCGGTGAATACCATTTTCCAAAATATTGTGAAAATGTTGGTATTATTTATGAGAAGTTTGCACCCTACACACCATAACAAAATGGAGTAGCTGATAGAAAAAAAATAGGACATTAACAGAAATGATTAATGCTATGCTTTCTTACTCCAGTTTAAGTTCTGGTTTTTGGGTTGAAGCCTTACTCACTACCTGTCACATACTCAATAGAATTCCTCTCAAGGGAAGGAATATTACTCTTTATGAACTTTGGAAAAACAAGAAACCTAATCTTGGTTACTTGAAAACATAGGGCTGTAGAGCAATAGTCAGATTGCCTAAACCTAAAAGGAAGAAATTAGGTGAAAAAGGAATTGAATGCATATTCCTTGGCTATGCTATACATAGCAAAGCATATAGGTTTTTGGTAGTAGAGCCCAATGGTTCAGTGAAAACAAATACCATCATTGAATCACGTGATG